AAACATGCAGCTGGGTTTGACATGTGTAACCACCGCTAGCTTGGCACTAACCTACCACTGCAAATCCCACAGGGGAGCAGAAATTAGCATTATCATAGCAGGGATGAGCATACAGTCATATGCAAATGTTTAAAACTCACAGGCAAATAATATTTTTTTTGATTTTGTAAGTGTGAATATGTTTAGAAGATCACATGCTTTACAGGAAACAAACTTAACTATGCCATTTTTCTGCAAACTGTAGTGCACAATTTCTATTTAGGTGCTGCATTTAACATATGATTTGCATTAAACATAAAATTTAAAATATGCCATAACTTTTGCACAGGCCACATTCTCACCAGTATGTTAAATTCAGCAAATAATGTGTTCTCTGTTGAGGAAACTTTTGCATACAATTGCATAATAGTATATGATTTTTGCCATATTACTCCCCTTTAACTGTATGTGTGAGAGCACATACACACATGTTGATAAGCAATACTGATGTGTCCACTATTTCACAATTATTCATTATTCTGACCTGCAGACTTTTAGCATAATAACAGTAATGATCACTACATTAAACACAATGTCTGTGAAATAAAGGTGATCATTTACATTTATTTACATACATTGAACCTTTTTTTTAATCTGTTTTTTCTAAAAAAAACAGGTCTCTTTCTCACCCACACACACAGACAGACACACACCTGTGCAGAAACCAGTGTTTGGGGTAACATGGGATATACAAACACAGTGACCACATTAAAGTTCCTTAATAATAATAATTTTGTTACTTGTGTCACTTATATGTCTCTAGTACAATATTGATTACGCACCATGCATTTAAAACATATTTCAAATATATATTATCTGTAGCTGCCCTTGTATGTATTCTGCATGCATGTGCTACCTGCTACAGCTGACTGTGCCACTTCAACTGTGAAAATGAGCAGTGCAACATCTTTCCACCACTGTAAACTCCACAAGCAATCAGTCAAAGCATCTCATTATGCCAACACTAAATAATAAAGATCCTAATGCCAAAGAAGACAGAGCGCCAGTGTAACCTAAACAAGCTTGAGTGTAACTTCAAAGCTCCAGCAAGAAACCTCAAGAAAAAGTTACTGCTTTTTTCTTACCAATCCTCCTCCGAGACCCAGAAACAGCTTTGGTGAAAACCATATTACCAGCTATCTGAATAACAGAGGAGAGAAGAGAAGCTGCTCCAAACACCGCCTGAAGCAGCTTTCAGCAGAGGATACATGAGTGCATGCTACGCGGGAAATCATTTACAGGTTTCAGCGTGGCATCACTGCATGATGTTAAGCTGTGCTCTTTATGTGTTTTATTTGTATTTATACACTTTCTGTATTGTGTATATTTGTTCTTGATTTAAAATAAAATACAAAACATGGATGTGAAGGCCATGTTAAGTAGGTTGGTCCTGTGTGGTAACTGCAGTTGGCTTGTTGGAGTATTAGGGGTGCTTTTGCTTTCAAATGAACTTTGTGATGGGCTTTGATTTGATTATGTTAAAGTGGATAAGCTGTCCTTTTTCCCCTCTCCTCAACTCCTCCACAACCTTTCAGGGAAGGAGAAAAGAGCAGTAAGAAGGGAGAGGGAGGACAAGAGCAGTAGCAAAAGTATGTGGACACAGCCAAGAAGCAGCTCTTTAAATTCTGCAGTTTATTCACAAAGACTTTATTTCGAGGCTGCAGTTTTGAGCTGTTTCTACCGGCTCGTTTCTAGGGTTTTTAAACAGCATTAGCTGTTTTTAATTTTGTTTCATTATTATTTCCTCCTTCCCTTTCTTTCTTCTGGAAAAGATGCTGCACTGCTTGAACAGCCTGTGTGGGCTGATGGACACCAGTAAAAAAGACCGCAGCAATGTTGAGCTGCTGAATTTGCCGCTCTATGACAGAAAGCTAATGATAATCTGACTGTTATTATTCCCGTATCTTATTATGGCCCCGCCGCGTCCACAGCCTGCAGAGCTGCCTGCTAATTGTTGCTATTGTGAGCAGGGGGGGGAAGTATTTGATGGGCATGCTCCAACACCTGTCGGCTTCCCTGCAATGCACCCATGCAAACAGCCGTTCTCCAAAGGGAAAGGAGTTTGATCTGATTCAAATTATACAACGATTTCCTAACCAGTTGAGCTGTAAATGTGAGTGCTTATTATCTTGGACCATGAATGGCAAATTGTGTGTGAGCGTGTGCGTGTATATTTGTTTGTAAAACAAACAGACACAGGCTCAATTCGGCCTAGCTCTACTAGCTCTGTTGAGTCTAGATTAAGCCTCAGTGCTCCTGTTTCCTCCCTCTCACGTTTTGCCTCCCCATACCACCCTTTTTCAGGTCGCAAGTTTTGTTTCATCAGCTCCTATGCACTACTGAATGATATTTGCATGATAATAACTTGATTATTTTCCCCTTCTCCTACTTTACGCCTGCTGGATATTCTCTGACTACCTTCTGTTGTGCACGGGAAACTGCAAAGAAGTTTCCCGCCGAAAAGTGTATAAAGCATATGGGCAGGCTGCCTGTTCCTAATGCATTCCTTTCATTTCTGGGATATTTTTCTTGAATCCTTTGTTAAGAAAAGCCTCCGTGCATGTGTCTGCGCCTGCTGATGTGCTTTTCCCCTCCGTGCTCTACAGGACCCAGAGGATGAAGCAGCGCATTAGAAAGAGCACTCTAGTGCTACTCGCCCATTAATGAATCCCTTTATGTCATTGATTACTATTGTTAGCCTAATGGAATTTTTAATTAGTATCACTCAACTTTCCCCAGCAGCAGTTAATGAGCAAATGTGCTGTTTCTTCTCTTTGCAACATCTCTTTTCTTTAAACTCCATCTTTAATTGTTCAGATACAAAGTGCAGATAATTAGGGGATAATTCCCTAAATACACTTTCCACTGCCCACCCAGACTGAGTATTTTAAGCAGAATGCTGCTATTATCAGTATGATTCAAATGGTATGAAGGAGTTTGAACTGAACTTGCCCTACCCTAAGATGCATAATGTTATAAGCCATGCATAATATATGTTGTGATGGAGTACAGCAGCATAATTAAAAATACATGCAAAATTAGCATTTTTAGATGTCTATTAATCATGTTATTGCATTATTTGCAATTCCATTATCTACTGATTAATCTATAATTTCATTATGTAGTATGTGATAACTACAAAATAAATTTTGTAAAATACACAGTATACTGTGTGTTCTGTTGCTTGGCAACCATAGCCCAAGTTATTTATTGAAAATTGGTGTATTTTATCACATTGGATTTTGTTCATGTCATGTTATAAAAGCAAAATGTCACTCAAGGCTGCATGTTACAGTGATTTTACCAGTTAAAGTGCCCCCAAAAACATCATAAAATGTGCAAATGTAAAACATAGAAAATTGTTGAATAAAAGTAATTAAAAATCTGAAGATCTATGATTATGCATGATTATGCAAATTACAAATGCCTTCTTGTCTCCCATTTCTAAACCCTCCCTCTCCCCCCCACTACTTTGCACGCTGTCTCTATGTTTTATAAGACGAGGCAGATGCTAATGCTATCACATCTGACAGTTTATTAGATAATGTGGAATTTAAATCTAACACAGTCATAATTTAAGATACCAAACATTTCAAACAAGCATGCTACATTAGTGCAGGCAGTTCCTGTAGGTGTAAGCAAGTTTCCTGTCATCAGGATGTAATCCTCTCATTAGTATATGTTAGTATATTGGATCATGATAAGTTCAAGCTCATTCATGATGTACAAAACTAAGCTGCCACGCAAGCTTCTCACAAATCACTTTTTTTCTGAATGTACTGGGAAATCCTGTGTCTTCAGTGGAGAAAAATAAAGCTTGAGCTGTGGCAACACTTTTGATACAAATATCACACTTTATAATCGCAATAAACTGTCCAAGAGCACTAAACCATTTTGAGTGCTTGAGGTCTTTAAAAAATTAACAAAGACCTTTACTTATATCACTAACAACAGGCTGCTCCTGGCTTCTTGCTTTCATCTACTGTAACTATTTTCAGCAAGCTCCACAACCTTCAGATACCAACCTACTCTTTTAACCTTGTGATTTGAGCACTACAGTACAAGGACCCTTTAATACTGAGGTATCAGCTTGGGAAAATTCTTGATGAGCAGAAATGTACTGAGCAGTATTATTTTCCTATTAAGAAGTTTGCTGTTGTTGGAGGTGGTATTATGAGTGACACAACTCTCAATGTGAACATTTGGCCTCTAGGCTCACAAAAAAAATAAATAAATAATTAATAAAAAAAAAAACGGTGTGTCATCTGTCATCTGTCATCTTAGGGGGAAAAAAGGATTCAGCCAAAAAATGTTGAGTGCAGACAGAACTAGGTCAGGTTAGCCCACCACCCAGCCAACAGAGCAAGTGTGTTTAAAGATCACAGAAAGAAGAAATGAAGAAGAACCTCTCTCATGCAACCTACATCTGCTTGCCGTTTTCAATTCATACGTTCATAGATGTGTCAAAATCTAACTAGTACAGGCACCATATGATGAATAATTTATTGCCTTACATGAATTTGTATCATTAATTTGCTTCCTTACTACTACACTGTGCCAAAAAGCATTCTTTGGAGCAGTACCATAGAAGAACCACATTTAATTCCCTAACGGACATTTCAACGGATAATTCTTTAAATAACAATTTTAATAAAAGGATAAAACGAGAATTAAAAGAAACTTGACATGATGTAAATGTTCTTTACCCATCAAATATTTTTCTCCCTAAAACTGTACCACATCTAGAACCTATGGCAAATCAAAATCAAATTCAAAATCAAAACAATTATCTAGGAAAATACCTACCTGCATATTACATAAGCTCATCTGCCTGTTTAGACAGTATTCAATTATTCTCAAATTGAATGAAAATGATCTTGTTATCATAATTATCTGCCCACAGTATCTTTTCTAACTCGTCATACTGATACTTAATGTCTGTCATTTCTCTGCTGCATCAGCTGCACACGGATCTGGATAAAGGAGACAGCGTGGTGAAATACACTCTGTCAGGGGAGGGGGCCGGAACCATCTTCACCATCGACCAGACCACCGGGGACATCCATGCCTTACGCAGCCTGGACAGGGAGGAGAAGCCTTATTACACACTCCGAGCCCAGGCTGTGGACATCGAGACCAACCGGCCTCTGGAGCCTGAGTCAGAGTTCGTCATCAAGGTGCAGGACATCAACGACAATGAGCCAAAGTTTCTGGAGGGCCCTTACACAGCTAGTGTCCCCGAGATGTCGCCTGTTGGTAAGGATACTTCACTGGCTGATTAATACTTCTGTGAAGATGCATGTAAACATATTGTCCTCAAGATGCAGGTAAGGGGTTTAATGGTGAGTGCAGATCGCAGAGGCCCACATGCACACATCTAAATCAGCTGTTATGTGTCTGGTATTAATAGAGAGTTTGCTGCAGTTACTCATCCTTTAGTAAGGCCTAATACATGTTACTGATGTTGGATGATTAGTTCTGGATCACAAACCTGTTTCGGCTACTCCAACTCAGGCCAAAAGTATTAGATGGTGCTCCATCACTTCACTGCTCCATGGATTTATACCACTCTAGCTGAGTTTTGGCATTGGCCAAAATCTGTAGTTCCACCTTGAAGCTAGGCTCATTTTGTCCACTCATCCAACTATAAAATGTGCTGCTTTTTAAATGGAAAAATCTTTCTTTAAGGTCAAATTTAGCCAAATAAGATAAATATAATCAATAACAATTAAATACAGAAACCAATGCAATTCATCACGATGACTTATTTAAATAGCTTTTTACTACAGCATAAGTCTTTTTTTTCCAAGGTTGAAAACAGATTGCTGGCTGCTCCTTAGTGTGCATGTTAATGTCACATGGTGTCAAACCTATGCAAAGGTCAAGATTCGGCCTAAGAGGTGTTTGTTGCTACAAATATATATTCGTTTAGTCCATTTCAGAAGACTGTTTGACCAGACATATCCTCTGACAAAAGTCATCCATGGAGGATGCTTTAGAAAAGTTTTCTTTTGTATGTTTGAAAATTCTTTCTAAATGTTTGGGCCGCTAAAAGGTAACAGCCAAGGTTTATCATTCTAGTGCCACCTTTCAAGGCTTTCTGATTTTTTTGCAAAAGTTTTCCATTACCTGCAAATTATCTATTGATTGAATGAATTTACTGTCCAAGGTAAGAGCACAATAGTGACTGTTTAACACCGCTATTCTATTCACAATGCCTGGGCTCAACCCTGTCCAAGGTCCATAAGCTGCAGGTCATGCCAAGTTGACTCTTGAAAATACATCATTGTTAAAATCCTTAGAAGCTGCAGCTGTCACTGGCAATCACAAAAGCACAGTGTCGATAGGGTTCATAGTCGATATTAATTATATCTCACTCATAGCTCATTGAAATAAGCTGAGAAATTCTGTTGGAAGTGCAGATTCTAAACTTTGAATCAATACCGCACTTGTGTTCATGAGTGGAAGTGGATATTTATCTGATTTGAATTTGATGAAAAGTTATTGTTCTGCATAGTCTTGTTATGCAGAAAGAAAAGCCATGGTTTTTTGCCACATTTTTCCATTTGCACATCGAATCAAACTAAAAAGTGGAACATGCAGACTTGCTAGCACTATGGATGCACAACCAAAACAGCTGAAGAATCAGCAGGCATCTGTTCCAAACACACAATAGGTAATCTGCCAATGTACTGTATTTATTTTGGACAGTCCATGTTGCAATGTATTCGATTCATGCACTTTATTAGCAATTTATTTAATTCATGATGTTTAGATTTTTCGTATAAGAATTTAAAATGCAGTTCTGATCCATAAAGGAGGTGAAAATCTTAATTATATTGCAACACTGGCTAATAGAAAGATACTGGACATGGGCTAGTATGTTTCATTTGTTGATTTAACCCAAACATGGTGAGCATCGGGTAAAAATGCCTGATAGGACATATAAGTCGTTATAAGTCGTATTTAAGGACATGTGACATAAATTTACATGAACATTTATAAATGCTTATTCCAACAGGTGGCAGTTGTTGTAAAGACTGCTTTTGTTAATTTCACTGTGTTTTTGTTGATATTAGATGTGTCACAACACTGTTTGGGATGAAATAACAATATCTTTTGATAGCTGATGTTTTGTGGTATTGTGTCCATTTCACAGTTTATCTCCAGTTTTTAATAGTATTCATTTCACATGCAATTCTTAAAATACTATACTGGACATTTTAATACAGAGAAAATTTCCAACCGAAGTCATTCTTGGAGATGACACAAACTGTCATACAACTATCCTACAGCAAAGTGGTATTTCATTGAGTATTAAATATTGTGTAGAGGAAAGCAATTTCTTATAGCACCACCACCAAGAGAGAAATGAATGTGACTCCATGATGCAGCGTTTTGTGTGCCAGAACATCCAGCAAAAAATATTGGAACAAAACGCTCATTTTACTTAAGAGCCAAATAAAATATACATAACTCATTTTAGTGTTTTGGCATTACTAGTACGATTCATAACAACAAAATGAAACTCTCTTTACTGAAGCAGCAGAGAACATAAACATAACTCTGTCATTACAGGGTCATGATGTTGCTTTATGGCCTCATAGAAATCTTCTGAGCATAAAAATATGATACTCTCTTTAATTAAGTGCCAGAAAAAATATACATAACTCTGTTCTAACAGAGTATCAGTATCAAAACCCTCACAACATAACTACAATATAGTGGATTTTCATTTCAGTGCTACCACTGGACATAAATGTTATGTTAACTTGACAATGATGTTGACAAAAGCAGCCTTTATGACAACTGCCGCTTATTCGAATAAGCCTTGGTAAATGTTTGTGCAGGTTTACTGCAGTTGTCATGAAGGCTTGTGTAACTCATGTAGCCTTACGAACTTGACCTACAAGTAAAGTTTCACCAAAAATGGCTAATAAAAATCAGCCAGATCAAAAGAAATGGGAAAAAAAAGAACCAGCCATAAAAATTCATGATTGGTGCATATGTGTATGTATATATATATATATATATACATACACACACACACACATACACACACACACACACACACATTTTTATTTCTTACTTTGTGCAGAAACAGAAAATGAATACTTTTAAGAGATTACATTTCACCTACAGCCAATTTGGTCAGACTCAGAAGATAAAACCACACCAAATTCCGAAACTGTCACTGAGAAAGCTTTTCAGTCGGCAGCTGTGATAGAAGAACACCTAAACAACCAGGAATTAGCCAGAAATTAACCGAATATCATTCGCCAAACAAAATGGGTTGTAAAATACTTTACAGACTGGCTGGAACAAAACAACATTAATATTGATCTAGCAGAAAACTGACAAAACTGAGCTAAACTTGATAATGCGGCTGTTTAATGGCTCAGTCTGATTTGGTCAGACTCTGAAAATGAGACTACACATTTGGTGAATTAAAAAGCTTCCTCAGTGGTGATGACAGTTTCAGAATTTAGTGCAAGGAGCTGGAGAACGAACTGCTGGCTGTGCAGCGAGTGAGCGGAGTTCATTACTCTGACGTAGCAACAAGCTGCTTGTTAAAGAACTATAATTTGGCGGAAGGAATTGCTAACATTAAAACATTAAATGACACGTTCACAGCCCAATTTATTTATTTCTTACTTTATTTATTTAACTGTTGTATAAAAGCATACAATACAACATATATACATACATCATCTAAACCGCTTAACCTTCTGGGTCGCGGTGGGGCGCTGGAGCCTATCCCAGCCTATCTATATATATATATAATTACATTTGAATAGTATAGTAATTATAATTATAGTAATTGTAATTAATATGGACTAAGAGTAAATGTAAAGGCATTGAGGCACCTTCACCCAAGCCCGAATTGGACTATATGCTAGAAGACTTTAAAAACACTGTGAAAAGACTTTTAAAAGACTGAAGTCTGACACCCTCTCACATCTAAAGACAATGTGCCATTAGTCACAGAGGTTTTAGTCACAGACTATGGTTTTGAAGAGAATGGAGATCTTGCAGAGTCACTATTTGCAAGACTGCAACTAGACTGCTTTTGAGATTATTTTCCATCATGCTTTTGGTGGAAATTTACAAGAGAAACTGTATAACAATGGAGCAGATAAAGAAGCAGTCTTGGCCACGGCTGTCCTTGAGTATTAATGGTTTGTTCTGAGAAAGAGCCAAAGAAAAAAACAAGACACTTCCATTTCTGCCCACCTTTTTTCTTCCTCCACTCCATCATGGCACAAATGAGAAGACATGTCAATGAGACACTCTTGCTCACTCCACAACTCCACCAGTTTTGCCTTCTTTTGCACAGTCCAGCAGAACACTCCCTTGTGCTCTCTCTCTCTCTCTGGAGTGGGTGAATGAGACCCTGAATGAAATCACGGATGATGAGAGTTAGAAGGTTTGGCGTTCTGGTTAAAAAATATCGGGGAAAGCCCAGGCCAGGCAATGCCCCTGAGCTCACCTAGTGGTTGTTGACACTGTCCATGTCACTATTTGCATGAGCAAACACTAAAAACTTGATATTATGATTATGATATAATGATAATATTAAAAACGGTTGATTTTATCAGAATGTCAAGACAAGAAAAAGACTGACTTAAGATAGCTATCCTGCCCATCTTACACCAAACAATTGAGATGAAGGGAGCACCACAACTCTAGCAAAAGTATCATGATTTTATTCCGACATTGGAAATTTGTCTGTGACAGTGAAATCGCTTGAATAGTCATTTGGTGTGATGACCGCATAACTCAGCTAAGCGCTCCGAAGTCTAAAGAGAGGGAATTTTTAATGGTTTAACAACTCCAGTTCCCACTCTTGAGAATTAGCTTCAGCTCTGACCTCTGAGTCTTGTTAAACCTGTTCATCCAGGTGCTACATACACTTTCTTTTAAGCTGCTCTCCAAGCTCAGTAGAATCAAGCAAAGATTCCACAGTTGGTTTAAGAAGCTGAAGAGATCTGCAGAAGATCAAATCAGTGAGCCTCATTCTAGCTTCTTCAAAAATTCACACAATGCATGCACCCTTTGGTCTGACACACAGCCTTCAGTAGCAAAGTTTTGTACTTTGTGCTTTGTAAATTATAGTACTAGTTATGTAGTACTAGTGCATATTTCCTACTCCATAAGGAAATGTATCATACATTACTGATTAGGACTCATGTTTTTGGTGGGGACAATTACACTCTTAAAAACATTAATAAAAGTTGCCAAAAAGTGTTCTTTGG